GTGGGGGAACGTACGGTGCGTGCACAAATGGATGAACGAGACATAAAATAACGCAAAAAGCATACGTGTGGATGGATGGGTTGGTGAGGGTCTGAGGGGATATATGGACGGCCCAAAATGGATGGATGGATAGAAGGATGGACGGATGGGGTATGTGGGTGGAGGCAAGGGGGAACTGGGTGGGCTGGGTTGGTTGCTGGGTAAGTAGGTAAATAGACTAATGAGTAAATGAGCTAAAAGACAGATGGGCACAGGCAGGAACAGGGCAATGGTTGGATGATCTTCACATCAGATGACATGGCTAGCGGGAAAAGTACTTCAGGTCCCTGCCACTGTGTGTGAGCCTCTCATAAGTGAGCAGTTACATCTGAGCCTCTCTTTGCACAGTAGGCAAAGCCACCTTGGAAGACCCCGGTTCTGATAACCTGTCACACTGTAGCCATATCAGCTTGCTAACTTACTCCCATCTGTCCCACTCTACACTTACCAACCCCGTTCCCTCAACCAGAGGCAGGCGACGCCTCACCACCACACAAGTAGGTTCTCCCTAACCTCCGGCGTATCCTTCTTCAGGCTGACCCAGTCACATATGAGGCGTGCTAGCTGAACCATGTCTAGGAGCCCTGCAGTTGACACAAAGCCTCCCCAGTCCCAATACTCTCACACCCAGCCACTGTGCGACCTGCATCCTTCTCTGTGACCCTGGCTAACACCACCCACCTCTCTGCCCTGCCCTACCCAGATCTTAGCCCTGACCCTAAAAGATCCGCACAGTGAAGCAGCCCTATCCTGGTCAGCTCCTATTGCAAAGCCTCTTGTTTTGTACATTTTCATCAACCAAACAAACTATTTATTATGTAACACAGATTCATGTTCTGGTTTTATTAATCACACATGGGAAAACCAGCTGAAAGGAATATGGCCAGCACCAGCTCCCAAGCGGAACACTCTGGAAAGGAGAAGGTAGACAGCATGGGAAGATAGGCTGGGCCTCGGGATTACACTTCCCTGACCTCGGCATTTCCTACCCCCAGCATTCCTCAATGTGAAAGCAATGTGGAGACTACCTTCTCTGCCCAGGACCTGTGTCCTCCTGGATGCTGACCTGACCTGTGTTCCTCAGCACCTGTCCTTGTCTTTAAAGTCCTCCTTCACTCCCACTCTGGTTCCTGAATTAAAGTTGGGGTGGGGGGGAGGCTACTGGAAACAAGTTCCTGTTGCTAGGATGCCCTCTGCTCTCTGACACAACTCAGCCTAAATCCCAGACAAAAAGTTCTGCCCAGACCAGCAAGAGGGGCATTGTGGCCGAGGTCAGAGGGAGCCCATGACTGCTCCTACCCCCTCCCAAAAGGCAGCCATAGCAAGGCCCACAAATGTAGCTCCCATCCACCTAGGTACTTTTGAATACCACTCCCTGTGGTCATCTATGATAGCTGTGGCCCTGCTAAGGAGTCCTGTGCTTGCTAGAAAGGCCCCAGCCCCCATGTCTCCCCTTGTCATCCTTTCTCTGTGACCTTGACACACCCTACTCAAACAGCTCTGTCCTGCCCAGATCTTAATCTTGACCCTAAAATATCTGCTCAGTCAGCTCCTACCAAAAGATTATTCTTTACCTTGACCCCCAGTGACAGGCGACTAGACTCAGGCTCCCTACTCCAGCTATGCCACTCCTCACAAAGCTAACTGCTTGTGTAGCAAAATAAAAAGCAATTAAACATCCCTGCCCCTTGAGGTGAATGACATCCCATAAACATACTAACCACCGGCCCCACCTCCCAGAATTGCTAGGATCATGTCCACAACTTCATTCATATAAAAATGCTAAAATCATGTCTGGCACTGCTCAAATACAGAAGCTGGCAACAGGCATAGTTCTAAAACACTGTGTTGGATCCCTAGAAACATGAGGGACCCATCTGCAAACTACCCAGAGATTTCAGCCCAAACAACACCTCTGCTTTGAAACCCTCTTTGGCTTCCTCAGGCTAACCCTGGATCTCCCTTCTCAACAGCCTATGCACCTGGGGGTGGGGGGGGGGCGACGGAGACACTTGCCGTAGCCACCGAAGCCAGCACGAGGGTTCAGCTTGGAGAGAAACTGACAAACATCTGTCCCTCTCAGAGTCTGACTGCAGCTCTCCCTTTCTGAGCTTCAAAACAAATGTTCCTGGAGCCACAATTCTCAGAACCTTATCCCCACCCTTATGGGAAAGCACAAGACTAGCTCCTACTCAACAGGTGTGCAGCCCCTGTCCCTTGTCCCTTACTCGGCTCTTTGGAACCAGGGCCCAATCTCTGAAATCAGTTACACCAGGATCCCACTACGTCTACTCTCCACAGGCCACAGATAACTGAAACTACTCCCTTCCACATCCCCGGTCACTAATAGAGCCACCAAGGCAGGATAGGGATAAGCCATGTAAGAAAGCAAGGCACCTAGCCAGCAGTAGGTCACTAACTGAGCTCCCTCCCGTACAACCTAGGCATCCATCAGGTTTGAAACAGAGCCAAGGTTCCTGGCTGCATGGTTGTGGCCTCCCCTGGGAAACTGCCAACTTAAGGTAGGGGCTACCACAAGCCAGGGCCCAAATCTTCTATGTACCGAGAAAGGGATACATGTACCCTGATCCAGACATACCACCAATAATAATCACCCTGGACCACCACTTAGGAGGAGTTCAATTGTCATACTCTCTGAACTGGAAATAATATCGATCTTGTGGCCTCCCGGGATCCCTGAGGGCTCAATGAAGGGGTGTACCCCAGACATGGAACCAGCCCACCCGGGGGCTCCAGAGGACCAGTCACTGTTTTCACCAACATCTAAAGGGACCATTCTTCCTAGATGTGCGAGCGTTCAGCAAGACTGAACCACAGCCGCTCAGCAGCCCCGGGAGCCGGAGCTCTCCCCTTTCCATCTCTGTAGGAAAGGGGCCATCCTTCATCAGCCAGCTGCCCTGAGACCATATCAACCCCAGAGTACCCGGAGCCACTCACTGGAACCCAACTGGCCTCATTTCCTCTTAGCTGGCCCAGGCCTCCTGCTCTGCCCACTTGGACAATCTGTCGACTTTGGAAAAACGCCTCTTTTCTCACGTTGACCTCCTTACTTATCTCCCAGTCGGTCATGAACTGGGAGCTCCAAGCACCTGGTAATTTCTGGTACTCTGGTACCACAAGGGTGGTCACCATCTCGGGAAACTCAGGTGCCCACGTGCAGACAGAGGATGGCCGTGAGTGATACCTCCTGTTGGCATGGCAAAGGGTCTTCGCTGTTTAGAACACGTCAGGTTCACACATTCATGTTCCTAGGGACGTGCATGTTTGCCCAGCGTGTACGTGGATACAAATCTGTATGCATCTGAGTGTAATTGAGTTTACTCCGCAGTCTTAGTGAACGTCCAGATTTGTTACCAGCAAGACCAAAGGGAGACTAGAAGCACAGGCCCTTTGAGAGCTACCTGGGCAAAACTGGGGTCACTTACCATGCCGGGCATCATACTGCCGCATCTGCACTTCCTCCACACAGTCAGCTGGGAACCAGCCAGTACGGCCCTTCACGGTTCCCTCCCAGAAACCGCCCTCCCCAATGCTGAGCACTAGGGAAAGAAGCCAGACAGGTTGTCAGGGCAAAGCAGAGCTGTGGGGCGGATACCCGCTTCCCCGCCACCTGAGGCTCAGGTGCGCCCAAGACCCTAACCCTTGCTCCCTTCCCAAGCCCACAGCCTCCTGGCATCTCCCCTGGGAAGATTGTGAGATCCACACAGAAGAGAGGACTGAACAGATGGCCTCGGTAAAGGATGGACATGTGGGAGACAGACAGACAGACAGACACAGATGGACACACTTGAAGAGGACAGAGGCAGAAGCAGGGGCCACGCTCCTGCTCCTGCCCACAGTGACCACTTCCCCCAACCATGGTAAGCGACATCTACCCAAGAGTCACTGTCAAGAGCTCAGGGTCATCGGGAGGCAGCCAGTGGAGTAAGCCACATGATGTACCAGAGGGCTCATGTTCACAACTACAGAGTGCCCAAGGTAGGAGCCCAGTAACGACAGACAGCCCTATGATGAGAGGGGCTTGTCTCCCCCAAACAGGCATCATCCGTGGAAGAAATGTGCACTGTACACAGACAACCACAGCTGTTACAGGGCCCCTGAAGACGGCAAGCCCCCCTCACCTGTATCCTAAGGATTTCCAATGAGGAAGCCTCAGAGTGCCACAGAAACCCCACAAGGCATGGGAGCTCGTCATGGCTTAGGGTCCTTCTAACACAAGCACCCAGGTGCCATTGGCCCCCATCATAACAAGAACCGCCCCACAAGAGCCAAAGAGCCTCTACCATGACAGAGCTAGAGCTTCACGCCAGGAGCCCATAAAACCAGGGCCGGTGACAGAGACCCCGGCACAGCAGCTTGCTCTAATGACCTAGGAACATCCCAACCCCAGAGACCCCAAAATGGCAAGAATCAAGCCGTGTGCCCCGGGGCCCGCCCCCCATCCCACTCGCGCCCCTCACCCCGCCCGCGCCCCTCACCCTTCACGGCCTCGCCGCGGTGCAGCGGGATCTCGCCCTCGCCCTGCGGGCTGTGCGCCTTCACAGCGATGAACTTGCGGCCGGGGACGGCACTGTAAAGTTTCCGCTTCGGGCCCCGGGGCGGCGGCGCGGGGGGCGCGGGAGACGCCGGGCCGGGGCCGGGCGCGGGGCCGGCTCCGCCGGGCCCGCTGGGGCTGTAGACGAACACGTAGGTGACGGACGCGATGCCGGGGGGCAGCGGGCACGCGAAGCCGGCGCCCGGGGCCTCCATGGCGCACGGCCCGGCCCCGCCGCCGGCCTCACCGCAGCCGCCGCCGCAGCGCCCACCGCCCGCCCGCCGCCCGCCCGCCCGCCGGGGGCCCGGCCCGGGGCCGCTCCATGGGCCGCGCCGCCTCGCCCGGCCCGCTCCCGCCAGCGCACGAGCCGCGCCCGCTCAGGGCTCGGGGGCCGCGGGGCTGCGCTCCCGGGCGCGCCGGGCTCGCTCCATGCCACGGCCGCTCCGCGCCCCGCCTCCTCCGCCAGCTCCTCCCTCTGCGGGCGGCGGCGGCCGGCTCGCCCTGGGTCCGCGGTGCCCCCCGCAGACCGACCCCGTGCGGGCGACTGGAGAGAAACGAGGGCCAGAAGGTGGGCGCACGGGGGACGCCGGGCAGAACTGGCAGGTAGGAGCTGGAGAAAGGCTGGTACTGAGGCTTCGGGCACCAGGGAAGGGCAGGCGGGGCGCACCCTGACCACCAGCATGCACTGGGCGCCCCAATTCTCCTGCCTCTGCGCCTGTCTCCTCTCATCTGTGACACCTGTCCCTAGGCCCGTGTTGACCACCTTCCCCATACCACTTCTCCGGGCTTGGGTAGAGGCTGAGGTCTTGATCTTCCTTTTTGCCCAAAAGCCTGCTTGGGCTCCCTAGTACCAGACAGGCCAAATTCACCTGCTCTGCCAATGACCAGTGCTCTGGGATTTAGAAATATGCTACACTGTTAACACCACTTAAACAACTGTGACCCTGCCCTTTTGGCGAGAGATTAAGTTACTGAGTCCGCTTCAAATTTGCCCTTGTAGGAGCCACTGTGGTGCCGGGGCCAGAACCTATAGACCATATTTCTGGGCTCAATGCCAGGCTCAGCCAACAGGGAGCAACAAGGAGGCACTGCAGTCCCACCAGGGTCCATAAATGCCATCGGTTTGGGTTTTGTTTTAACAACAGGCAACCTGTGCCTGAGGGTCTCTTCCTTCTCCGTGCGCCCAAATCGCTCTGCCACATCCTGTCTGGCAGACCACTGTCACACCAGGTAACCCCCTATACCTGTATCACAACTCATCTAAGTGCTTCTCAGCCCCAAGGCCAGGTGTCTGCTTCCTCAGAACCAGTCAGGTTCACTGCTGTGAGATTGGGGGGGGACACAACACGAAGAGGCAAGCTGTGCACGCATATGTATGCACATACTCTGGTTCCACTGCTCTCTCCCGCATGCACACACACACACACACACACACACACACACACACACATATATCTGGCATTCGAGTCGCCCAATGAATGTGGAGAAGAATACTGCCCTCCCAAAGAGCAGGTGAGCTGGAGACCCTAGAATAGAGGCGTTTATTCTGTGCCTGCTGCAAGTGTAAACAAGCACACCGTTCCACTCGAAAGCAGCCCTCCTGGCAAACTGCAACATCCTAGAATGCACTCTTTCAGCCACAAAACCCCATTCCATTCTTAGAAAACCCAAGGGGCAATGCAAAAGCTTCAGGGAAGAACTGTGATTGGAAACCAAACAGACAACCTTGGAGGGGTCCAAGACGGCTACAATATGGAAATCAGGCTGCATACCCAGGGGAATAATGCAAAAGGGAAAGCTTCATGTAAGCTGCATCAAATACCTTCCACCAAACACCTATACCCAGGTCAGCTGATTCCTACTCTCTGTGACTTTAAACAAGTCTCTGACCCAATCTGGGCATCAGGACCCCAGCCTGCACAGTGACATCAGCAGACACAGCCTAAGTGATAGAGGTTAACTGAGTGGCAAGCATTTGCTGCTCAGCCCAGGAGTGCATCAACCCATAGGGCTATAAGAGCTGGCGGACACTGTGAAAAACAACATGCTGCTTATGTAACACTTTCCTCCAACAGGCTTCCAAACACCTTCTCTATACCTGGCTCTGGAGAAACAGCAGGAGGCAAGAAAGACAGCCTCTGAACACAAGGCGAATGTAAGACTACAACCAGTTAACGCAGGCAGTCCACAAGGGTCCAAGAAGACGAACCGTCACAGGCACCCCAGAGAGCATCTCAAAGGAAACACCTCGTACTGGATGGGTGAGGAGCCAGCAAAGTGGCCACTCTTAAGCCTACAAATGCTAAGAGCTGCAATCTGCACTCCCTACTCTTAAGTTATGGGGAAGTCAGTACTGCAAATACCCTGGTTTCTCAGGGTCCCAGGACTCAGGAGGAAGGTTAAACATACTGGGGGTAGGTAGGGCTGGGCCAGGGCTGGCGGGGCAGAGGGAGCTAACTCTCACCTGTAGGCTTTGAGCCTACACAGAAAGGCATTCCCAACCAACTTATTACCGGCTTTCACGCTGCAAATGAGCTTTCTAACCACAAGCTGGACCATACCCTCTCCACCCACAACTCCCTCGGCTGCCCGCTATCCTCAGAGCAAGCCCCAGCCCATCGTCACTGCCCAGGTACCATGAACTACCTTTCCCCGCCTTTCAGCTCTGGTTTGTCATAGATCTCAACCCACCCTGACCCCTCTGGGACCTCTCATTTCCCTCCTACCTGATCTTGTTGTGGCTACCCCTGCCTGCCGAGGAGCCACTGATGTCCTTTTCCTGCTCGCCATCCCTGTCCCGATCTTTCTCTTCCTGAAGCCGCTGAAGCAGCAGTTGATGAGGGAGGCTTCGGAGAGCGGGCCCAGGAGAAGCTGCCGGCTGTGCATCACCTTTCAGGTTGATGTCACTGGCTGAGCGCTGTAAGGGCCGAGGGGATGCCAAGCCGCTGGGGCCAGCCAGACGACGTCGCTTTGCATAGCTGGGGGTTTCCCTGAATGGCACTAGAGTACACAGGCACAAGTTAGACTCTGAAGACTAATAATTGATGGGGGGGGGAGGGGGCTTGGAATTACAACATTTCTTCTTTCCTTTTCCTCTCTCTAAATCATCCCATATCCCCTTCCTCACTCTTTCAAATTCGTGGCCTCGTTTTTTCATTATTATTACACGCATATAAGCATAAATATTCCTAAGTATAAGCAGCTCAATGCACATGATGTTAGTTATATGGATGATTTCGGGACCGACCATTTGGTATTAGATAACCAATTAGTGTGTTCTTCTCTGGGGAAGACTGTTTCTCCCACTCCCAGCATACCTCAGTTGCTGTCTATAGGTCTTTCTATAGGGCAATTGATCTTTTTTTTTTTTCAGTGTTTCAAGGCAGGGCTTCTCTGTGTATCCCTGGCTGTCCTGGAACTCACTCTGTAGCCAGGCTGGCCTCAAACTCACAAAGATCCACCTGTCTCCACCTCCTGAGTGCTGGGATTATTAAAGGCGTACACCACTACTGCCCGGATGGGCAATTGATCTTTTAAAACTAAAATACTGGGCTAGAAGATAACTCAGTCATTAAACTGTTTTCTGTGCACAACTGAGTACCTGAGTTCAATCCTCAGCACCCACAGAAAAAGCCAGTTATGTTGGCATGCGCTTGTAACCCCAGCACTGGGGACATAACAGGCAGATTACCCAGGGCTCACTGGCCAAGCCTGCCTAGCATAACCAGTGAGCTCCAAGCCTTAGTGAAAGAGCCTGTCTCCAAAATCAAGGTGAGTAGCTCCTGAAGAAAAATACCCAAGGATGATTTCAGCACACATATACACACACCTACCTGCATATACATAAATCTACAGAGAGAAAAATGAATAAGTCTATGTGTTCTAGGAAGTGCCCCAATCCCAGGAAATCAGAACAATTAGCCACATTAATGATGTCACCGCTGGGTGACCACATCACAGTCATGCTATCTCCAATCCTAACTTTAAGATTAGAAGCTTGCTCCTCTCTTCTCAGCCAGCTAAGGCCTTGGAATGCCCAGATCTGTTGTCAGAACTTCTCACTTTACAAGGTTCAGAATAAAGCAGGCTACTGCTGTGTGAGACTGTGTACTATTGACTATAGCCAAGGAAACCAAAAAAGACATTCTAGACCAGAGTCAGTAAACACCCTAAAAAGAACCAGGCAGTAACTATTTCAGGCTCTGCAAACCACAGAATCCCCACCGCTATGTCTCAAATGCTATCACAGTAACATGAAAACTGCCACAAACAGTACAGAAACAAATGGGCCTATCCATGTTCCAATAAAACTTTAAAAACAGAAGAGATATAAAACTGTATGTTATTTATAAGAGAATCACTTTAAATCCAAAGACATACATATATTGAAAGTTAGACTATTTTTGTTTGTCTTGCCTTGTTTCAAGATAGGGTCTCACTATGCAGCCCTGGATGTCTTGGAACTCACTATGTAGACCAGGCTGGCCTCTAACCCACAGAGAACTGCCTACCTTTGATTCCCAAGTGCTGGGATTAAAAGTATGTGACAATATGCCTGGCTACATTTAGAATATATCTTTAAAAATATGTAAATAGTAACCAAAAGAGCTGAGTAGCCATATTAATATCAGACAAAATAAACTTTAAATGATAAAAAAGTAAGCCTATGAAGATATCACACATAGTAGAATGCTTGACATACAAGCATGAGGACCTGAGTTCGATCCCCAGTACCCACATAAAGTCGGTTTTGTAAAATGCACGTATCCTGGAGCTGAGGAGGTAGAGACAGCAGATCCCTGGGGCTCACTGGTCAGCTAGCATAATCTAATCAGCAATTCAATCAAGTGAGAAACCATGTCTCAACAAGCAAGATTCAGGATGACAGCCAAAGAACACCGCTGGAGGCTGACCCCAAGCCTATACAGTCATACAAACACACGAGCACACATGCTTTTATATACACACACACACACACACACACACACACACACACATACAAGTCAGAAAGATACATCAGTAAGAAGGGCGGTTCATCAAGAATATTAACAATTATTAACATATACACACCAAAGAATGTAAAAGCAAGCTTATGAAACAAATACCACTGATTGAAAAACAGACATAGATGTGGGCAGTGGTAGCACACGCCTTTAATCCCAGCACTTGGGAGGCAAAGGCAGTGGATCTCTGTTGAGGCCAGCCTGGTCTACAGGGTGAGTTCCAGGACAACCTCCAAAGCTACAGAGAAACCCTGTCTCAAAAAACCAAAACAAGCCAAAAGAAGAAAACTAGACAATTCCACACTAATATCCAAAAACTTTTAACAGTCATTTCCAGTAATGAACAGGAGATATAAAAAGATGAGGAGGACATAGGAGACAAGCCAGTCAGAGCTGACCAACACATCTAGGACATCTCACTCAACAACAGTGCCTTTTACATAGCTAATACCGGCATTTAAAAAGCAGCGTGAGCCGGGCGGTGGAGGCGCACGCCTTTAATCCCAGCACTCAGGAGGCAGAGGCAGGCGGATCTCTGTGAGTTCGAGGTCAGCCTAATACACAGAGTGAGTTCCTGGACAGCCAGGGCTACACAAAGAAACCCTGTCCGGAAAAAAAAACAAACAAACAAATAAATAAATAAATAAAAAATAAAGCAGTATGAAAAAGGGATGTAGTTCAGTGGTAGCTTGTCTAAGATACCTAAGTGTCAGATTCCATTCCCAGTATTGGGAAAAAGAAGACCTAAGCATGGTAGCACATGTCTATAATCCCAGCACTGGAGAGGCAAAGACAGGAAGATCAACACAAGTTCAAGACCAGACAGGGCCTCATAACAAGACTTTGTATCAACAACAACAAAAGCATCAGCACACTGGGTGTGGTGGTGAACACTTTTAATCCCAGCATGGGAGACAGAGGTTGTATTAACCTCTGTGAATTAGAGGCCAGCCTGCCTGGTCTACATAGTGAGTCCCCAGGACAGTCAGAGTAACATGGACCCTGTCTCATAAAAAGGAGTGTTGGGGGAGATAGCTCAGCCATTAGGAGCAGCAGCTGCTCTTGCAGAGGACCTGGGTTCAATTCCCAGCACCCACAACCATCCATCACTTGCAGGGGATCCACAAAGCCCTCTTCTGACCTTTGCTGGCCAGGCACATGGTGCACAGACATACATGCTGGCAAAATCTTCATTCTCATAAATAAAACAAGAAGTCAAGAATTCATATTTTTTAAAAGACAACTAAAATCAGAAATGACTCAGGGTATTGTTTTTTTTTTAAAGATTTTATTTATTATGTATACACCACTTCATGTCTGCCTGCAGGCCAGAAGAGGGCGCCAGATCTCATTACAGATGGTTGTGAGCCACCATGTGGTTGCTGGGAATTGAACTCAGGACCTCTGGAAGAGCAGCCAGTGCTCTTAACCTCTGAGCCATCTCTCCAGCCCCGACTTAGGGCATTGTTACCAAACTTTCAGAAATAAAATAAAAAATGATATTATGCACAATCATTTGCCACCAAATTGAATAAGCTACATAGGTGGACAATTTTTTTTTAATTCACAAGTTACAAAAACTGACTCAAGAAGAAATAGAAAGTATCTATAGACTCAAAACGAAGAAACTGAGAAACCACAACCTTCCTACCAACAACAGAAAAGTGATAATGGATAGCATTGCCACAAACACTTAAAGAATCAATATCAGTCCTTCTCAAACTTGTTCAAAGGAACAGGAAAGAAGAAAAAAATTCCTAACAGATTCTGAATTAGATACCCACGCCAGATGAAGCATTCCAAGGATGAAGACTTCAATAACCAATGTAACGCATCAACAGAACAAAAGAGAAAAACCAACATCACTATTTGAGTTGATTCAGCAAAATCACTGCTAAAAGTCCAACATCCTTTAATGATAAAATATTAGAAAACTAAACTTCCTCAATGTGTCAAGGGTTCTTTGTTATAGTTTATTTAAAATCACTGTGAGTTCCTAACCAAAATTGTATTTTTTTTCTCTTGCTTCTACAAATACCTTAAAGTTTCCCCTTCCGGCAGTGTTACTTGGTCCTCTATTCATGAGTTACAGAATAAAAGTCAACCATGCTTAAGATTTTCTTTTATCGGCTCTAATATAAGAAGAAACAAAGACCTTATTGGAGCCACACAAACAGCAGCAGTCACCAGCTGAGCCCTGGTGGTCACCACTTAGAACCCTCTAGTTTTGTGTGGAATTCGTTGGGTTTATTTGAGAGTATTTTAACTCATGGTGGCGCCTGAAGCCATACTGACTTCTGAAGCTGAAATAAAAACTGTCGTGGGTCCTGTAGGGAGTCTTCAGGTGTCTTAACTGGGTTTAATGAAAAGATTTCACTAGGAAATCCCCAGGAAGACACGAAATAATAGGTTGTTTAAATCCAGCAACTGAAACTATATCAGAACTTGAACTTGTTCTTTTCTAGTCAAAGGGTAAATCTTACCAAGAAAAGTTACCAGCTTGGAAATGAGAGACAGACAGAAAGAAAGAGAGAGAGAGTCTTTGTGTGTGTGTCTTGCTTCATAGCCCAGGTTGGCCTCAGTCTCTTTTCTCCCTACCTCTATCCCCAGAATTACAGCATATACCACAGTTAAGTTCTTCAGTCTGCTTTTTAACCACTGTTAGACTTTGATCAAAATCTTGAGCTCAGACATAAACAAGGGTATTCCTGTCTAAAAGTTTCGTCGCCAGTTGGTGGTGGCACACACCTTTAATACCAGCATTTGGGAGACAGAGACTGGCAAATCTCTGCGAGGTCAAGGCCAGCCTGGCCTACACGGCAAGTTTCAGGACAGCTGTTACACAAAGAAATCCTGTCTTAAAGAGCAAAACAAAATAAATACATAAAATTTGCTTTTCTCATAGGTTCCAACCTGAGCGCATGTGTAATCGTGTAATCTAAATACATTGATAAGACCTGGGTGTCACCCTGAGAATCATCCCCATGGCCACAAGGAGTCCCCATGGAGTCCAGATACACACTACATATGAAGTAGAAAAAGCTAGAAACCTACTGAAAGACATTCCTAGTGTGTTTCTTACCCATGCTACTAGTCACCAGAACTAAGGACAAAAGAAAAATAAGTTACTGATTTCAGAGTGCACCAGGTAATTTTGGGGTTGTTTGGTTTGGGTTTGTTGGTTGGCTGGTTGGTTGGTTGGTTGATTGAAACAAGGTCTCACTGTGTCACCCTGGATGTCCAGGAACTCACTGAGATCTGCCTGACCGCCTCCGCCTCTCAAGTGCTGGGATTAAAGGCCTAAGGCACCATGCCTGGCTCCGTGATTTGTTTTTAATTCTAAACTAACTTTGGGACAATCCAGAAAGTCCCCTGTAATCTTAAAGAGTTAGTGAATTAATTAAACTTGTTTGATGTGGTGAAACTGTATGGAGAACATTGTCCCATGTGTCATACTAAACCTCTTTTAGGGTAGAACCTGGGGATAAACACAGGAAATCCCTGTGTAACCCAAGCTGGCCCCAAATTTGTCATTATTCTGCCTGAGCCTCCAGAGTACTATGATCATAAGCATATACCACCCAAGCACCAAATTTTAAACTATATTTCCACATAATTTCAATATACAAATATCCTAAAAGTGGATAAAATTCCTGGAAATTAGAGCTGTCTTGGTACAATCCTATCAGTCATGTCAGTCTGGTTGTGTTAAAAATCTTGTAAGCCACAAGAAGAAACCCAATCCCTTGCTGACTTCATCATCAGATTTCAACCACAGCCGTCTGGAGTCTTGCCAAGTATAGTTATTATTGTCATTCTTCTCTAAAAGTGTGTGCAGTTAGCTGCAGCCCAAAATTACTTCTCCTTCAAAGTCATTGTTGGGCTTAGACAAGTACTATGGAATATAGGTTCCCAGGAACTTCAGGAGCGTACCAGTAGCTTGGATAAGAATTTTCAGAACTGCCAGGAGGTGGTGGCGCACGCCTTTAACCCCAGCACTCAGGAGGCAGAGGCAGGTGGATCTCTGTAAGTTCAAGGCCAGCCTGGCCTACAGAGGGAGTTCCAGGGCAGCCAGGGCTGTTACACAGAGAAACCCTGTCTCAAAACAAAACGAAAAAAGAACTGTAATGAAGAAACAAAAGCTAGGAATGGCAGCATGTGCCTGAAGTCACAAATAGTCCGGAGGCCGAGTCCAGAGAACTGCTTGAACCCAGGAGTTCAGGGCCAGCCTGGGCAATACAGAAACACTGAGAAGAGGTGGGGGCAGGAAGAGGAGAGAAAGAAAAAGAAAAAACAAATGAGAGCGAAGGGAGGAGAGGAGAGAGAAAGAGACTAAGGAAGAAGAGGAGGAAGAAAAAATTCCTGGGGGTTTGTTGCCACTGCTAACCAAGTCCAAGCTGCAGTTAGAGGATACCGTAAGTGCAAGACAAGCCTGGACTACACGGCGGGGTCCAGGACTCCTGGGATGCAGAATAAGACCCTGTCTCAAAATAATAAACAGACAGAAAAGGAAATATTGGCACTGAACCCAAACACTGATGAGGTATCTGACTCTGGTTAATTCCAGTGTGTGATTTTTTTTGGGGGGGGGGGACTTAATAGTTTTTTTAAAACTATGAGTGAATGATTTTGTTTATTTGAATTTTTCACTTTAATGATCTAAATTTAAGAAATATGTTTTCCTTTCTTACTATCTGTGGCCTATTGGTTACTTTTTGAAAATTAAAAATGAAATATTTATTTTTAAAAACAGAAATATTTTCTGAGCGGTGGTAGTGCACGTCTTTAATCCCAGCACTCAGGAAGCAGAGGCAGGTAGATCTCTGTAAGTTCAAAGCCAGCCTGGTCAATAAAGTGAGTTCCAGGCCAGCCTGGGCTATACTAAGAAACCCTGTCTCAAAAAAGAAAAGCAAATACTTATTTCTTCTCACCTGATCCTTGCGCATTGGAAAAGATAATCATGGATATTTTTAATTACATGGCAATATATTATCTACACAAATTCAGTAAGAAAGTTCTGCTTTTAATAGAATACAATTGGAAAAACTGATTCTATGACCAAGGCTTTGATTAGAACGTGGTTTGGGAATCTACCTAGAAAGCCAAACTGCTAGAGATGTTCCAAGCCTTATTTGTGAATAGAATGTAACTTCCTGCCAGAATTCCTCCAGAAACCTGAAGGTATTTGAAAGACCTAAAAAAAAAAATACAATTAATTACTACAGGGGAAGTCTGAAGTCTGTCTTGATTTTATTTCTGAGCCTTGGAAGATTTGCAAAAGTCCAACCTGAAGCCTCTTAACAAAATTTTCAGCAAAGCAAGCTTAAGAGCCTATGTGGTTAACTGCTCTTCTTACTAAATGTGTTACTGTGCTGTTACTGTTGTTGTTAGAGACAGCCTCATGTAGCCCAGGCTGGCCTCAAACTCACTTTCACTGAGGATGACTCTGAGCCTCTGATCCCATCTCCACTCCCGGAGTGCTGGGATTACAGATGTGCTCTACTGTGAGTGCCTTATGCAGTGCTAGTGCACAGCTGGGCAGGCACAGCACTTTAAGCAGCATCCCAAGCCTTTCCTACTGCATCTGTATAAATACATTCAAAGACTGACATGGCTACAGAGAAGAAAATTATGCCTCAGAGAAAACTGCAGGACACTGTTCTGAGACGCTGGGGCTGCTCACAGTTTTGAAATTGTATTATTATTATTTATGAGCTATAGACGGAACTGGATATTGATCTTCTATATTCCTCCATTTGAATGTTTCCCCGCTTTTCCAACACAGGATCACTAAGAACAAGAACCACTCCTTCCTGAAACTCCGAAGCTGGAGAGAGACACCTTGATGCAATTCCTGGGGATAACCCTCCCAGAAGTGCTGGCCACCAAGGGAGTTCAGCCTTCTCCCCAGTGCCAGAAATACAGGCATTTGAGATGCAAGCCAGGACATATGCATGCTTTGAGCTCAAATCCAGAAATCTTGGCTAACTTCTTTCTGGACCCTGACTGATGCAGTTTGTTCTAAGGATTCACCTTTGCTATGCTTTTATTCAATAGAAGTATTATTTTGTGCCAAACATGGCAGCACACACCCTTAATCCCAGAGGCTGGTGGATCTCTGTGAGTTCCAGGCCAGCCTAGTCTACATACTGAGTTCCAGAATGTAGCTAAGGACATACTCTAGTCTTGGGCAGCTGTCTATAATCGTCATAATTGTCCAGTGTGCTGCATTTTTCCCTAGGGTCTCAAATGTCTTCATAGCCATCCACAGTATGCTAACAACAAAAGTGAGATCAATAACCACAAAAACAAAAATCTTCAACGTCTTACTTAATATGATCTGAGTCAAAGACATCAGCCATGACACATTATGCTAACACTCATGCCCAAGTTCTGGCCAAAGTGGATAACTAGTTTTGTTGTTTTTTTTGTTTTTGTTGTTATTGTTTTGCAAGTGCCGGGGCTGGAGAGATGGCCCAGAGGTTAAGAGCACTGGCTGCTCTTCCAAAGGACTGGTTTCAATTCCCAGCACCCACATGGCAGCTAACAACTGCCTGTAACTCCAAGATCTGACACCCTCACACAGATACACATGCAGGCAAACACCAATACACATAAAATAAAAATATCTTTTTAAAGTGAAAGGCATGGTGGTACATGTCTTTAATGCCTCATTTGGAAACTCTCTGTGAGTTTGAGACCAGTCTGATCTACATACTGAGTTCCTGGCCAGCCAGAGCAACACAGTGAGACCCTGTCTCAAAAAGATAATAATATTTTAAAATCATCTAATTGGGATGTTGTTAATGGGAATGGTTCTGGCACTTTACTACCGAAGAAAGCAGAATCCATGGTAAACCATCATCTGAAGCCAGAAACTACACAGATCAGAGCAACCAACTAACTTCAAACAAACAAACAAAAAAGGTTTTTCTTGTCTTGTCTCTACAAATAATTGACCTTTCCCTCCTCCCAGAAGAGTACAACCTCCCCTTAGAAGCTGTGGATTATTCAAAAACTCTAAAATGTAAGCATGCTTAAGTTTTTCTTGTTATCAATGATAAATTAAATTATGTGACCTTATATTTGTTGATGGATTCTTAGAAACCACATCAAAAGCATGAGCAGTTTCTTTTTAATTAAAAAAAAAGGGAATGTGATGACAAGTCCTACAGTCCCTGTTACACAAGAGGCTGAGGCAGGAAGATCACCTGACCTCAGAATTCAAAACCAGTCTGGACCAGAAACAAAGCAGCACATGGTAGCCTTTTCCTGTAATCCCTACACTCAGGAGCTAAGGCAGAAGAACTGCCAAGAGTTTGAGGCCAGCCTGGGATACATCAACAAGTTCAACAACAACCTGGGTTACAGTGAAACTTTATCTCAAAAAAATATATATGCTGTGTATTTTTAACTGGTTACGTTTAACTTATGCCGTGGCCCTAGCATGTGCATGAAGGCCCTGAATAAACCAGCATTCTCCTTCCACCACGTGGATATCCCAGGCTTAGCGGCAAGCACATCTACCGACTAAGCCGTCTTGCTGGCCCTACATTCTTTATATGTCCAAAATATATACAAAGAATTCCTATAGTTCAACAATAAGGAAAACATCTTAAGTGAGCAAAGGCCTTCACCCTTCTCCAAAGACACACGGATGAACAACAAACTCATGAAAATATGCTTACTAGCATTAGGCATAACAGGATAACAATTTACAAACAACAACAACAAAAAAAAAAGCAGCAGGCAAGCATTGGGAAGAACATAAGGAATTTCTATCATGCACAGCTGATAGAAATTTAGTGGAAAACAGTTTAGAAACTCCTCAAAAATGTAAGAACGGCCACATCACCTAGCAATTCCACTCCACGGGACAAACCCCAAAGAAGTGTAAAGAAGTGTAAACAAGTGTTCATATAAATACATGTACAAACATGTTTCAATAGCAATATTCATAAATCAAAAAGTAGAAACCAGTTAGAGAGACGGCTCAGCTTTTAAGAGTGGATGTTGACTTGTTAGAGGGGCACAGGTTTGGGTCCCAGTACCCACACTGAGTGGCTCAAACATCTATATCTCCAGTTTCAGGGGATCAGGTGCCCTCTCCTGACCCCAAAGGGCACTTGTATGTATGTGATACACATACAGAAAAGCAGACAGGCACATACATGCAAAGCATACACACACATGCTATATATATACTATATATATTGTGTGTATATGTATGTATGTTATATGCTTTTGTTAAAATGTGTGTGTATACATATGCATATATACATTTATATGTGTATAGACACACACACATTTTGCTTTGTTTTTCCTTGGGTTTGTTTTTTTAGGTTTTTGTTGTTGTTGTTGTTGTTGTTTTTTAGTTTTTCGAGACAGGGTTTCTCTGTGTAGCTTTGGAGCCTATCCTGGCACTAGTTCTGTAGACCAGGCTGGCCTCAAACTCAGAGAGATCCGCCTGCCTCTGCCTCCTGAGTGCTGGGATTAAAAGCGAGGGCCGCTACCACCACCACCTGGCATGTGTGTGTTTTAAAGTAGAAACAACCTATACATCTGACAGGTGAATGGATAATCCAAATACCATGCATACAGACAGTAGAATACTTTTTAACCATAAGAAGGAATGAAGTGATCCTGCAAGGCAGATGGAGCTCAAAACCACGATGAGTAAAAGAAGCCAAACACAAAGAAATGACCACATTATAATTCCACTGATATGAAACAGCAATTACAAGTAAATGCAAAGAGAAATTATGTTCTCAGCTGGAAGGTTAGGGGAAGAAGGTAACACAGAAAAATTGCTTAATATATCTTTGGATATATCTTAATATATCTTTGAAGCAATGAAAATGTTTTGGGACTCAATAAAACTGGCATATAATAGTGCAAATGTAAGGAATGCCGCTGAATTGTCAATAAAAGTAGTCAATTTTAAGGAAGGAACATTTCGCCTTAATTTAAAAACAAAAACTATACCGTGGGCAGACTTTAGCCTGCAGCACTGCCTACCAACTTTGTCTACATTGATTATAAATAGAGTAGAGCCAGGATCAGCAGAGTAGGCTTCACCATGAGCTGATGACCAGTGTAGACGCCCAGGCCACACCCAGGCCCAGACTCAGAACCTACACTGAACAAGCTCTCCAGGTGACATCACCATGTTAGAAACATTTCCCAAGGCACTTAACCAAAAACATGAGGCAGACAGTCCACGAGAACATATATACACAGAATGTACACAGGAGGTTGCCTGAAGAAGCATAGCCCACTAACATGAAGTGAGAAAGCCAGTGACAGAGCAGAGTCCCACCAAGGTCTGTTAGTCCACAAAGAGAAGCAAGGATGCCAAGAGACAGGAAGTGTCTTTTGAAGCATGACACAGGTACCTACCAGACACTACCCCAGGAAGGAAGAGGAGGATGGACAGGCAGAGAGCTGTATACAACTCCTATGTGCAGGCCTCTGCCCAAAGACACAGAGTAAGCCATAATAACTTACAACTGTCACTCAAGCAACGCCCTTAGGGGCTAAGGGTTGGTAGCGCACGCCTTTAATCCCAGCACTCAGGAGGCAGAGGCAGGCGGATCTCTGTGAGTTCGAGGCCAACCTGGTCTACAGAGTGAGTTCCAGGACAGCCAGTGCTGTTACTCAGAGAAACCCTGTCTCGAAACACACACACACACACACACACAAAAAAAAAAAAAAGAAAGAAAGAAAAGGAAAAAGAAAGAAAGAAAGGAATGTGGAAAGGGCAGAGGGTAACCCAGATCCTGAGTCCCGAGATCTAGGTTTTCTCACTAACCCTCTGAGATTTGGTTTCCTTCTCTGAAAAAAAAAAAAAACCCAATAACCAACTTCACCAGAGAATATTAGGAAGGTGAACTGAGATAAGAGAGTTCATAGTAAACCTCATGACTACATCATTCTACACAAGGACAACTGGTTTGTGACGCTTAGTTTTCTTGTCAACTTTACACAAGCCAGGGGCATCTAGGAAGAAGAAACTTCAGTTGGGAAAATGGCGCCATCAAATCGGCCTGTAGGTAAATCTGTGGGGCACCTCTACTTCTTTTAATATTATTAAATAGTTGATGTGGAAGCGTCTGGCCCACTGTGGGTGGTGCCACCTCTGGTCAGGTGGTTCTGGATTTTTTGTTGTTGTTGTTTTGGTTTGGTTTGGTTTTCTGAGACATGGTTTCTCTGTGTAACAGCTCTGGCTGTCCTGGAACTCACCTTGTAGACCAGATTGGCACAGAGATCTACCTGCTTCTGCCTCCTGAGTGCTGGGATTAGATGAGAGACCAAGCTGAGCAAACCATGTGAAACAGGTTAGTAGGCAGCATCCTCCGTGGCCTCTGCTTTCGTCCCTGCCTTCGAGTTCCTGCCTTCGAGTTCCTGCCTTCATTTCCTACCCTTGACTTCTCTTCATGAAGGAGTATGATTGCGATATGTATGCTGCAATAAACCATTTCCTCCCCAAATTGTTTTTGGTCATAGTGTTTTATCACAACAATAGAAGCCTAACTAGGACAGGCTGTGATAGTAAAATGTGTGACCGTGTATAGTTACAAGAGCAGATGACACAGATGCCCACTATCCTCAGCAATGTTGGGCCTAACCCCAACTGAGCAAGCACACTCGGGTAAAACGGCAGTGCGCTTCAGCTGGTGACCCACAGAATCCTAGAGTGAGGGGCAGAGGAATATTCCTATGTCTCATCCTAGATAGTGTACAAGTCCCTCGTCTCTTGCAAAATCAGCTACAAACAGGCCACATCCTAGAATTCAGCCCCTTCCAGGATCAAATGCTATAAGAGACCAAGGTGAAAAGAAGATGCAATAACTATGACACTTATGACAAAATGAGGCACCACGGATGTCAGCAATTCTCTCAAGATTAGACAATCAGGCAAAACAAAGACCCCAAACATCCATCCACAAGCAAGGTGATCCCAGAAAATACCATCTCTGATATTGTCAGACTCAACCAAACTGTAGCTGTTGCTTACGTCCATATCAACCCAAAAAACTATACCCTGATCTTTCTACCTTAACCTGGGCGCAGCTTTATATCATGGATCATGAACTCATTCAGCACTGCTGCAGTATCTCTCTTGGGGAAGTCACTTGCCCTCAGTTCCACCACCATTATGACCCCACATTGCAAGGTTGCAGGGGCGTATAACCAAGCCTTATTCACAGAGAGCGGCTCAAAGAAGAGCCCCAACCATGAAACTGGCTTCAATCTTAACCCCATCCAAAGTGAAACCCCCAGGCCAGACTGTCATAGAACTGGGGAATATTCTAACCTTAATGCTAGCTCTAGCCCTTTGTTGCCCAATGTCACCACAAACTGAAACAAGAAATGGGGACACTTCAAGTAACACTCACAGAAGAAAGAGGAGCCTGGGGCTCCATGTTCCAGAAAGAATCACACGCAGAAAAGTCTATCCAGAACATTAAGGGATCCCTATGGC